ATATATATATATCAATCTCTTTATGCATCCATTGGTCTGGAACTTTCAATCTTGCTATGCATTGATCCGAACATACACCAGTCTGTGCCTTATAGGCGTTCTTGGTGAATTTGATGGGCCAAGTAAGTGATGGGGCCTGTCCTTTGCTCGTAGCGCCTCACTGGTAATGAGTCCTTCGCTTTGCCCTACTGGAACTTTGCCACTGGGAGGAACGAGTGTGACGTGTGCACTGACCAGCTCCTCGGGGCAGCCAGACAAGATGACCCAACTCTGATTAGTCAGAACTCGCGATTCTCCAGCTGGGAAATTGTCTGTGACAGGTAATGGCATATAGACTCTGGTATGGATCCACGACTGCCTTATGTACAAGAGATAGAGAAGTCAATTTACATTTCTGTTTCTAATGCATGTGAGGCTCTCTTTCATGTTTCTGGAAACAGTTTTCTTGTGGGAGCTGAGATTTTCAAGATTCTAACCTCTTTAATGAAAATAAATAGTTATATCCAAGTCACACATGTAAATTGAGATGAGGTACTTCAATATTAGTAGCTCCTGCATTCAGCCAAACTTTGACAAATACCAGTCGTTTCTAGGTGATGCAGTACTGTTGGGAATACAAGTATGAATAGATACATCCTGCTTTTCGACTACCATCCTGTATGCACAATAGATTCTTTGTAACGAATTGTCATTCAGAGTGAGGAGTATTATGAGAGGTGTGTGTGCGGGGCCAGGAAGAGACACTGGCGAGTCGCCGAGGGGTGGAGATGAAGGTTTTCAGAATGAAGGAGGCACAGAGCTCAGCCAGGTGTGGGCTGAGGAGGGAAATGGCATGGGGCAGAAGTGCCCTGGGTGGAGGGGACCTCACGTGCAAAGCTAGAAGAGTCTCTGGAAGCATCCAGGGGTGGCTGGCTGGGGAGCTGAGGGTCTGGAATGTGGCATCAGAGGGCAATGACTGCTGAACGGAGACACCTTGAATTTAGCTCTCTTTCCAGACACGAGACAGTGGTCCCCCTGACCTTTGGAGAATAAATTCCAAGACGTCCAGTGGATGCCTGAAGTCTCAGATAGTGCCCATTTCTGTTCACACACCCTGTGTTTTCCCTCTGTAGACATAACTGTGGCGAAGATCAATTTATAAATTAGGCCCAGCAAGAGAGTAATGATAACTAATAAATAACATAGAACAATTACAGCAGTGTACTGTAATCAAACTTATGTGATTGTGATTCTCTCTCAAAATACCTTAATTCCTCCTTGCACTAGAGTAATGTTTTCAGAACAGAGATGACTGCAAGTAACTGAAACCACGGGAAACAAAAGCACAGATGGGGGGGCGTTTGCATCACAGGAAAAGATCTCCCAAGAACCTCCTTTGACTTCCTTTTTCATTTCTTAACCCTGCTGCTGCTTTGTTACTTGTGCTGTGTCTTTCTTTCTTTTCTTTTCTTTTTTTAATTTTTTTTTTCTGTGCAGTACTGGATATTGAGCCCAAGGCCTTGGCACTAAGCTACATCCTCAGTCATGTTCTACCTTTCATTTTCAGACAGGAACTCACTAAGTTGATACATTGCGCAAGTTAGGATAGACTTTAGAATCTTCCTGCCTCAGCCTCCTCTGGCTGATCACGTCTTCTCCCTTCTTGGCGTTTCCTGTCGTGATCAGGTGATGAATCCACAAGTGGAACGTCCTTCATACTTTGTCCTGACTTCACTTAATCCCAAAGGTGCATTTCCCATATGAACAGGGGACATGTGAAAGAGGGGGTATGATCGTAAAAGTATAGCAAGGGTCAAATTTGGAAGGTTTAAGAAAATTTAGAACATCTCCAAGCCTTCCATGCATATTATTATTCTCCTTCATGCGTATTATTATTATTGTTCCTCAATGTATCTGACCCTAAGACTCTTATTTCACAGACCATGTCACTGCAACATACTTTGGGAAATGCTGCCTGGAAGGCTTTTTTTTTTGGTCTTGCACTGAGTCCTGGCCTCTTCCATCCTTGGGTGTGTGCTGATTCCCTTCTCACACACTGAGGACTCCCTAGCTCTCACCCTCCAGAGCTCACATAGCAGCATCTTTAATATTCTGTCTCTTCAGGCTACCACTGGTTCATAAAATGTGTTTTATGGGCATGGGACCTTGTCCGTCCTACCTTTACCACATAATTATTGTTACCCTACTGTCGCTCTCCCTCTCTCTCTCTCTTTCTCTCCCCCCCCACACAGAGGATGTTTTATATATGCATGTAATTTTTCTTCTTTTCTAGAAATTAATTATTATTTTAATTGTGTAAATTATGGAGCACAGTGTGATAATTCAGTACTTGTATTTAGTGTGTAACGATCCAATCAAGACAGTTCACACCCCCATCTCCTTACACATGAAAAAATATTTTTTTATGTAAGCCTGTTGGTAACACAGAATGCATGCACCAATTTTTCTTATCCTTCTTTCTTTCCCTTCCCCATTTTCAGGAAATTCTAATTTTTATCACGCCCTCACTCAGTGACCCTCAGAACCATGCACACCTTGGAATCTGGAGACAAGCACATACTCTACGCCCCACTCCTACCAGCCTCTGAGGCAGTGGTTGTGGGCTGCTCCTAGAACCAGTGTGGGTTTCTAACCAATTCCCAGCTGATGATAGTGGAAAATGCTTATATGCACTTAATGTAGCTCTGTTACATTTTTTATTAATGCTTTCCCTGTCTATAATTTCATCTGTTTTTACTCTGAGCTGCTTTCTGCAATTTGCCTAATGCTTTCCTACCCCTCGGGGCCCCTCTGCCCAAAGCCTTGGGTCAGCATCATATGTGCCACCTTATTCTCATTTCATTTGATCCCTGTCAAATGCACATAATCTGAATCACCATCTTGCCCCAAAACCCTCTCACTGGCTTAGTAATGGCACGATGGTATGAGAATTATTGCCTTTTTATTCTGGAATTCATATTTTGTGGTGATTTGGGGACTTCTCAATCCATAATTACTTTCAAGGGCAGTTATTTTTACCATACATTTTTGACTCTTGTAAAGTAAAATTTTACTGTGACTCTCTATGACCTTGACTGCTTGAGTTTGGCCTGAATTGACAGTACAGTCCACGAGTTAAGACAAGTGACTTTTAATCTTCTTATAAATCTTAGCTTGGATGACTACAACCAGCGAGTCACCTTGTGCAATGGAACCTATGAGGGTTTGCTGAGAAGAAATCAAAAGGGAAGAAACAGTGAGAAGCTGCCAACCTTAAAAGACGTCCAAGATTGTCTGTCCCTCCAGAAGTTTGACAACCCTCCTTTCTTCCAGAACTCTACCTTCAGCTTCAGGTTGGTGCTCTGAGTCTGAGCTCTTTTGCAACAGCTTTAGACTTTCAGGCTTGTGGTCACAGTGGACTAGAAAGAAATCCAGGAGCTAGGAGACATCTGTAAGCTAAGTAATGGAGAGGCTCTTAATCAGAGAGATTAACAAGGGATTAGTATTGGAGAGTTATCCACCCACTAACTAATAATGTAGTTTTATTATCTTTTTACCTTAGCTGTTCAAAATGATCTTTTGTATTTATAATTTATCTACACATGTAAGTGCAGTCTTTGGTACCAGGGTACCTCATTAAACACTTTAAAAAATGAATACTTTAAATAAGTGCTGAGACATGCCTATCTCCTCATTTTTTCTTTCTTATTACTGTCTTTTCAATATTTACATTAGAAATGTATTAGCCCTGGGATTTAGCTCAGTGATTCTGCCACCTGCCTTGCAAGTGCAAGGACCAGAGTTCAATCCCCAGTACCAAAAAAAAAAAAAAAAAAAAAAAAAAAAGAAATGTATTAGCCATAGACCTTAATATTGGGGTCTGGACTCAGAAGTACTGCAGACAAGATTAAATTCAAATTATAGCCCAGCCATGACAACATAGTACCCAAACTCAATGAGCAATTATTAATTTTCTTCCATCCCAAAAAGACTTTAAGCATTCTAAGAAATATGCATACAAATATGATTTTTAACAAAGATAGATGGGGCTTACAAAAAGGAGTGATGGATAGATTCATGGTCTTTTCCATGAATCTCTTTTGACATGATTCTCTATTGACTGCATGTAAATGATACAACATGTATGCAGCCATGGACAGGGGAAGAGAACTCAAGTGCAGTTGTACTAAGTGTAGCAAAGCCCAGAAGCTGTGCCTGTGTTAGGCAGAGCCCTCAAGAGTGGCATCAAGAGTAGGGAAAGGGCAAATTTTAAGATTTTTTTAAAAAGGAAAATGCAGTAGTTTTTCTTTATGATAAAAATGCTGTTGAAACACATTGCATTCCCTATAGATTTGAGTTAGAAGTGTGGCCCTTAAAATGCAATGCTCTGGGACCCATCATTGGGAATTGGTTGCTGGCTTGTCAGGATCTCTCCTGCAACCACTTTAGGAGTGGATAGGATATATATTTTCCTCCAGTGGTTTCCAGAGTGTGCTTAGATCTGAGGATCACTGAGGGAGGTTGGGAGTATTAGAATTTCTTGAAAGTATGCAGAGAAAAAAGAAAAGGAAAAGGGGAATGTTTGGATGTGTTTGTAATTCTAAGTGCATTGCAGCCAAGCTGAAGGTCAACTTGGTTGAGATATAGAAATATAAAATTATAAATTAATTTAGAAAACATCTATTGATCATAGAACATGTGCTGGGCAGGATATTGAAAATGTGATAGAAAACAGAAGCTAGTAACATGAGAAACAAGTATGAAGATAAATAATTGTCATATAGAAACCAAAAGAGGTAAATTTAACTTTGCAGGTACATGCATGTTAACATTGATTAGGACTTCCTTCCCCTTCGAGAAGATGACCATTGGAAGTTGGGGCTAATCCTTAATTAATTAGCTATGGCAGTTTTTCTCATATCCTGACCCAAACTCAGATCGGAAGACGACTGTCTAGGCTGGAAAGAGGAAGTAGAGATCTTTTTCCTTCTTTGCCTGTTGTCACTGACACCCTGGTTTCTCCTAGGAATGCATTGGAAGGGTTTGAGAAGGTGGATGGAATGCTGGGCTCTCAAGTGGCGAGCCTTCATAATTTGGTTCATTCCTTCCTGAATGGGACAAGCGCTTTGCCACATTCAGCTGCCAACGATCCTGTTTTTGTGGTATGTCCTGAAACTCTCAACAGATGAAGAAGTTTCTAGATGACGTGTTGAATTTATTTGTTGTTCATTGAGATTAAGGTTTGGTGGTGTTGCATTCTCTGTGTGAATGATGTGATGTATGCACATATAAATTAATTTAAATTCACACCCTGGGACAGCTAGATACCTTTCGAAGCCCTTAGTTAGAAACCCATGCGGTTCAGGGATGTTTGGTTTTCAGACGATCTTAGTCAAGAGTGTAGAGTCCAGTGGCGAGTTCATAAATTCACATAAAGATGTCATTATTTAACAAAATTGCATCATATGTTAGCATAATTATAAGTGATTTTTTTCATTGGTGGCATAAGTGGGTCACTTTGTATGAGTTGTCTGCAGGAAAGAAAGGGTTGGTAGCCAGAAGAGAGAAGAAGAGGTGTTGGATAGATAAAATGACAAATGCCTTCAACAATGGCAGTGTTATAAAAACTCACATTTGGCATCTTACTCTTTGTTGAGCAGCTTAATGCCTCTGAGACATGAGACAACTAATAGACAGGGTTGCCGTTAACTATGGAGGAGCCCCAGGGTCCTTTAACCCTGCAAGTGTGGTGAACTCCCTTGATACAGTTGAGTCCCATTCCTGTCTCCCTTTAAAATCCAAAGCAAACATCTGATGATACTTGACCTTGGGATTATACATTTTAGAATTTCAAGATTGATGAGGTTTTAAGATATGATCATCAAGGGGTTTCCACAAGCAGACAAAACATAGCTCATGTTAATCAGGGCCATGTTATTCACTGCTCTTGGTCAATGCCTTCCAGCCGAAGATTTCTGGAAGCACGGTGGGGCATAGAACCCTTATCCATGGCTTCAGTTATTCACGTCGACCGTGTCCAAGAGAAGGAGGTTGACTACAGTGCAAGATTTTGAGAGAGACCCATTCACATACATTTTATTATAGTATGAAGTATAATCAAAGTACACAGTGAATGTTTCAATTTAAAAATTTTATTACAGTCAAAGACCTACTGCTGTTAATCCCTCTCAGGATAATCCTCACTTGGAAAATGCTGTTCGCCTGTTGTTCTTGCCACTTTCTGAAGTAGTTCTGGAGGTCCTCACTTTGGGTATCTTTATGAGGTGTGATCAAAAAGTACAGTGAATGCTGCTACCGAGTGCCATGCGACAAAAAGGCAGGCTCATTAGAACATTATGATGTGTCACCCACCACCTATTCACCAGATCTGGGCCTGTGCAACTTCTGGCTTTTCTCTAAATTCAAAATGACTGTGAAAGGTAAAATGTTTTGAACTGATTTAGTTGCAGCAGTGCAACCAAAGGCCCTCAGGAAAGAGGACTTTTGCTTCAGAAAGTGGTAAGAATGATGGGAAAAGTGTGTTAGAAGAGAGGGAGAGTATTTTGAGGGGTTTGATGGCAATGTGTCTTTTATTGTAGTTTTAAAAAATGTAGGGGCTGGGAATTTAGCTCAGTAGCACTGCACCTGCCTTGCAAGCTCATGGTCCTGAGTTCGATCCCCGGTACTGGAACAAATTAAATAAATAAATAAATAAATGTAAACATTCACCATAGTTTTTGATCATACCTTATATATTGTTACAATTTTTCTATTAGATTCTTAGTTCTTAATCTCTTATTGTGCCTAATTTGTATGTTTAACACAGGTGTGCACATATAGGAAAGAGCATAGCACAGACCAGGCTCAGGTTCTGTAGCAGTGGTTAAAGGCATCTGCTGAGAATGGAACCTCAGGAATGTGTGGGGGTAGAGGGGTCGTGTTTTTGTCCCGATCCATCATGGTCATAGAATGACTTGTCTGATGTTGGTGTTCTGTGGAAGACTTGATGTCTTACGGGAGGACATCAAAGCCTGGTGGATGGTACCAGGCCAACTCCTGGATGCCAGGGGCTGCTTTTCCCTTTCAGCTCATTAAGGTTGACTTAGGAGGTTTGCATGACATAAGCATTTGGGTTTTGGCCCCTGAAGTTCAACAATGACTCTGCTTGTCTATCTTAACATTGTCGTGTCTTCAGAGTTATGTGTCTTACGTATTTGGGGAGTAATTAGAAGAAGAAACTTCACATTTTTTGTTTTTTTCTTTTGTAGTATCTTGAGTTTAGATTGTACAGCAGCCAAAACACTACTTTTTCTTCCAGAGGTTTCCTTACCTCATTGTGAATCTTAGCAACATGCCCAAGTCTACTCAGGCAGCCATAATAAAATATCCTAGTCAGGAGAGCTTCCACACAGACATGTGTACCTACCAAAATCAGATGCTGGGGGAGGTTCTCTTCCTCAGGCTCCTAAGTGTCATATGCTACAAAGAGAGACAAATGAACTCTCTAGCATCTGTTCTTATAAGGGCGCTTGTCCTGTCCTGTCACGGTCTCACTCTTAATGATCTCATTACATCTTAAATTGCTATAAGCCCCATCTTCCATGTAGATACCTTGGGAATGAGGACTTACTTCAGCATAGGAATTGGGGGGCAACTATTCAGCCCATAGCAAAATGCATCCGCAAGTCATCAGTGTATGGCACTTTGCTTATCCGGACTCCTGGGAGAGTTCATGACATAGTGAAACAAGTCAAATGGGTTTTGTTTTTTTCTTCTTTGTGCAATTTTGGCAGTCATTCAACAATGTGGAGCCTCTGTTTCCTAATTTACAGTGTTGGTCATATGACCTGACCTTAGAGAAGGGAAAAATTGTGCTTACTGAAGTGACTTAGTAAATTAGGATGGTATGACGATGCTGTAGAAACTTTCAAGGGCAATACAAATGTTGCCACAAAGATAATGATGTGTTTTATGGAGGTTGGTGGGAAAGAGAGAGCGGTGTGTTGGGTTAGAATTTCCAAACTTTAATTAAGGTTCGTTATCTTGTTCTCCAAAGCAGACAGTTGTACCCTAAGGTGATTGCCTGACAAGCACAAAGGCAGAAGTATTTTAGAGGTGATTTATTATTTTTTCTGGACCCAGTGTACAAAAAAGGAATTGTGAAGAGGGAGAGTGAAGGTCCAGTTTGCAGTGACTTTTAACTTTGCCTGGTGGCACAAGGGATGGAGTCTTGCAGGTGTAAGTCGCTTTCTGGGGTTCCCACGTTGACTAAAGTGTGGTAAAGATGAGTGTCAGGGAATCCTGAGATGGAAGCAATTAGTAGAGCTGCTTCTTATTTCTGAAAAAAAGTTTCTCCCCTAAGATCTGTGAAGTAGCAATAAATGAAGGAGATGTCAGAAGTGTCAGTCGATGACCCCGACCTCTGACCAAGTGAGGGCTCATCTGTGAGGTGTCTGCAGCCATCTCTGCCTTCCCCAGGGTGTCTGTGTTTCTCAGGTGTTCTGACTTCACATTTCAGGTCACTTTCCCGGCTACTGTCTCAGCCATCAGGTTATACCAAGCAGTTTTCCTATCTGCATTCTCTCTATTTATTGCTAAATACATTTTTATGAAAGCATCCATGTTGTTAAAGCATACCACTCTATACTTTGTGCACACATGACTAAGGAAAATATCCCCATCCTTATGCAGTATTCTAAAATGTTATAAGGAGAACCAAGGATGATAATCATACCTTTGTGTCATACTAAAAGAAATAGGGATCTGATTTTCAGCTTTCCCAGCCTGCAGGGCTATTGTCTCCTTTGAGGAACCCTGCTAATGGTACTGGGTTTGGCCACACTTTTCTCTAAGTGGCCAGGACGTAAATAGTCTTGGTTTTCAAGGCCAGATGGTCTCTGTTGTAACTACTCAACTCTGCCATGACAGTATAAAAGTAGCCACAAATGCTGCATAAGCAAAAGAGTGTGGTGTTCCAATAAAACTTTATTTAGAAAGGCAGGTGGTAGAACCAGGTGATATTTTTCTGTGCATGGCTTATTTCACTTAACACAGTGTCTTCAGGCTTTTGTCTGCCAATCCCTACTTTAAAGGATAAGTGCTCTTTCTGTACAGTGAGGATACTTCTTTGTCATATTATCTTCCTGCTCTAGGTGAGAACCTACAGTATTACTCTATGGCTGAAGAAATCTCACTTACATGTAGTTCAGAGATACTAGATGTTTCACCATCTTTGTCTTAATTGCTTATAATATCTTTGATATTTAAAATTTGTTTTTCTTTGGTAATATGTTATCATATACATATAAAGAAGCAAAAAGCCATAGCCTTTCTTGAACAGGCTCAGAAGGAATAATGTTTGGCATTGATTTCAGGAACACACACTTACTTTAGGCTATTTAAAAAGAGATTTATGTTGAAGCTAGTTCAGGCTTAAATGATTTTTTGAATATTGAGGTTTAAGTTAAAGCGTTTCAGTTAACAGAGTTATAGTTTCTGGATTTCAAATTCATGAGGCAATTCATGCAAATATATTGCATATGAAATTTATTACAATTATTTCTTGTGAATTTCAAGTAAGAGAAGTATACAGTTGTATATAATCACGATAATAACCACAGAAGGCACAACATTAAAATGCAGGAAAACTCTGAACCAATCTCTGAAATTCCAATAATTTAAAATAATTGAAGCGAAGGTTCAGATTTATCATGGAAAATGAGATTAGACCACAGGAATGTGAAAATAGTGCTGCCTTCAATATTAAAAATAGATGTAATCCACCCCCCAAAAAAAGAGAAACCAATAAAGTATAAAGTTAAATAGTTGAGCTAAGAAGTAAAATAGTTGAGCTAATAGTTGAGAAAAAGCTATGTTAGAGATGAGTAATATTCTTCCTAGTTCCTAAAACTTCTTGAAAATATATCTGAATGAGATCATGCAGTGTTTGTCTTTCTGTTTAACTTATTCCACTTAACACAATTTCCTCTGGGTTCATTTATGTTGATGCAAATGACAAGAAATTACTTTTTTTTATTTTGCTGTGTATATGTATTACCATTTTTAATCCACTCATGTTTTTGACCCTTAGGTTGATTCCCTGTCATGGTTATCATGAATAGTGCTGTGATAAATTTGTGAGGGAAGATGTCTCTTTGATAGG